CCTCATAGCAAAAAAATCCAGAGCTTTTTCGCAAAACCAAAAAGTTTGGCACTTTTCGGGTATTTTCAGTGTTTTCGAGTTTTCTCAATGAATAAAGGGTTTCTCGAGGCCAGAATATGTTGTAGAAGTGGTAGGTGTGTCTATAAACATACTTTTTATAGGTTTTCGAATATGCTCCTTCCAATGGTGACATTTTCGACATCCAAATATAATTTTTCCTGGGTTTTCTTAAGACCGGATCTCTAGAAAACCCAGAAAAAATTACTTTTGGAATTCGAAAATGTCACCATTTGAAGGAGCATATTCGAAAACGTATAAAAAGTGTGTTTATAGATTTATTTACCACTTCTACAGCATATGTCCATGTGTCCAGTCAAAATTGCCCACTGTGTACTGTATATCGAAAACCTTCATTTACCGGATTACTTACTAAATTGGATTCTATGGTGCCGGTCCGATCTAAAAGGAATGTCATTAATACATTGGCTTTGACCATAAGAATCTGCATATGCTACATAACGAATTTAGTTTTACTAGAACATTATCAGAACAGAACGACCATCTGTCGGCTCGGGCAAGAGTGGTAGAATGACATTTTTTCGTCTTTTGCTACCTCTATTTGCCGAACCACACAATAGTTTAGATTGAAAATTCTGTTGCTAATGTAAGTCTACTAGTTCTCTCAGCTCTGAAAATTCCAGCTTGATTGATTGCATTGATCAAAAGTTATAGCGTAAAGAGAGATCGTGAGGGAATGACAAAAAATGGAAATTTTTTATGAATTTTCAGTATTACTTTAAAACGAGGCTTTGAATGAAAAAGCTTAGTATAGAAAAGTTGTAGAGAATTCTTCGGGAATTCAGAATCTCTATTTACTTTTGTTTGTATGTGTTTATATCAAAGAAAAAGAGCCAAAATATGCTTCGTGACGGAATGACATCGATTTTTGTGCTTCCAATTCAAAAGGTTTTGTCATTCTTTTCCCGATAGTTAAAAGTCACAATAATTCGTAACTCGTAGTTCGTTAATAATAAAGTTGATATTCGAGACCACCATAAAAAACTGCGTCTGATGATGTATATTTAACGCTAATTTGAGAAAACAAATTTCCGTCAACCATCTGATTCAAAGGTTATCGTTAGCCGAACCAAGCCACCATATAGTTTTTTTGAAGGCATTTTACGTGATCAATTGTATTGTTCACTAAATAGAGTTGACTCAAATAATCCAACGACAAATTATTAAAGTTGAATAATACCTTGGAAAATGTGATGTTTAAATTGCCGTTTTATGGAAACATTAATTATAAATATAGTAAAAGAGTAAAATCAGCACTAGAACAACAGTTTCCATTAAAACATATTCTATTAATTAATAACACAGAGAACACGATGGGTCGTGGGTTGAGTACGAAAGATCCTATTCCGAAACATCTTCAAGCAGACATTTATGAAGCTAAATGTTTTTCATTTATTAATTATTATATAAGTAAAAACGTTTAGACATTTCCAAGTTTAGACAGTTTCGAGTACTTGAGTTGCAACTTGTATATAATCAAAACATTATATTCGGAATCAGCGTCGAAAACTGAGTTGAACGATGTATGCTTCACAAGTTTTCATTGATGTTCATTTTTTAGTAAAAGTCTTAGTAATTTTTCGATGTGAAATTAAGTTACTTATAGAGTTTCATTTTAAATAACACCACAAACTGCATTCACTCCAGGGGCACTCCGTCCACTTCGGTTAAACTCCGCGAAGTGCCGGAGTTAGCGGAGTACGGTGTTTCCCCCATGAAGCTGACACAATATTACTTTAAAGACTTTTGCACAAGTGTCTTCAAACCATACAATCATTCATAAGAAAACGGTCTTGAGTATCCTAAGGTTAAAATATGATAGTTGAGATTTAAAATGAATGAGGAAATTCTCTCTAATCAACGCGGACTTGTACCTATACAACTGAATTTAGTTGAGATAACAGCAGCTTTAAACGTTTGTTTGTTCGACATTTTGACCTTCATTTCTCAACGTTCCAACAGTTTTACTGTCATTTCTAGACAAAATATTTTTTGTAAATGTAAAAGCAAACAATTAGACAGAGAGATACAAGAAAAAGTAAAGTTTTACTATTGGTTAGTTAAATCATCCAGTAGAAAATACGCTAAACACTTCTATGATCCAGATGAAAACTGTAATAGAAGCTCATTACTGCATGTCCCTGGTGTATGGTCACATATTTTGTCAAAGTTTCATCTTCATAGTCGGCCTTGATAATTGCAGTCCTTCCGGATATACAACGAACAGGACTAAACATTGAGTTTCATTTAAAGTTGGTTGTCACTGAAGTGTTGCTAGTGATTCACGTACTAGCAAACGATCGTATCTTCTTTCGAGTACAATCCTCGCCAATGTCGCATTTGATCATTCGTACGTATTTGAATTCTCAAAAAATACTAGATGATTTGCCAGACTTAACCAGTGATAAATATATGAAGCTGATAGAAAAAGTATCCCACCAGATTGATAACTATCCAAATGAATCCTCGGTGCACTAGCTTTTGTATTGACTTCTGCGCTTTGTAAACGCGATCTTTTAGCATTGGAACAGCCATAATGATTTTTTTCTAAAAGAATAACATAATAATAATATAAGAAGAAAATCGCGAAACACTGAGAGGGTCTCAAAAATCGAATAAACGACGATATTCGAAAAAGTTCGATTTTTCGGTCTTTAGCCGGAACGTTCAAACCATTGTTTTCTTATTCAGCATTAAAAGCTGAATTAAAAAATGATATTAAATCCATTTCGAAGGTAAACGCCTTTCCACCATGGATGTTCAAATGGGCCATTGGAAAAGAACGCCGAGTCATTTTAGAAGGTATCAATTTTTGTGCGTCAAAGGGTGGAACCGTCGTATCAATGGTATTGTATCCGCCGTGAGCTGAGCTTTAAAAATATAACTTTGTCTTTGTTAAAATTTGTTTCGTTGCTGAGAAAATTCATTTTTTCTAAATCAGAGGCGAAAAAGTTGGAATCCTGGCGTAATTCTCAAATTTCTTGATCAGAACTCAACTTTTAAGCAACACAAATATCTTATTCGGAATTAGGATTAAAAACTGAGTCGCTTGATGTGCATTCTGAAATTTTTAGTTGATTTTCAGTTTTGGGTGAAAATCTAGTTAGTTTAGTTAGTTAGTTTTTCAACCTGAAACTTCTAAAAAAACTAAAGTAATTGGATAGGACAGAAATCCCACTAGTTAATGTTCATTTGATACAACCAGCAGTTTCGTTAGCATGTACAGTTTCAAAAGTACCAGTTATTTTATCTGTATATGGGACGAAAATTTTCGGATCCGTTCGGGTCGGGTTCAGGCCAACGTATAAGATATTGATTTGAGTCGACTTAAAACTGAACTAGATTTTAATATGAACTCCAACACATCTATCTCACATCAAATAGTATACTCTGTAAAGTTTTAGATAACTTTCTAAGTTATCTAACCGATTAACTTCTTTCTCTTTCTCTATAAAATTTTGTTAAAGAAAAGCATACTACTTTTGATTAATTTTGCAATATGTAGTGTTTTATGTTTCGTGCAAGGACATGATAGGAAAGATTGAAACGTACAATCTACAGTTTTTGTAGCTTGTAAGAAACAAAATATTCACTTTAAAAAATCCGCCGATGTTATATTGTTTAAGATATTTGAGATTCCAAATCTGATCCGTAAATAAAAATGTTACTTATCATTAGTTTAATCCATGTTACGTATACTTTGAAATGTTACATGCATGACTAGGTCGGATCGGATGAGTAGGAAAATAATAATGATAATGACAGTGATATTGAAATAAAACGTCTAATTTAGTAAAAATGAATTTTCTCAGTAGGAAAGTAAAATGGAGAAAAGGTGATGGATGGTATTAAAGCTCGTACAATAGCAGTTCTAATTAAGTAAAAAGGCCGGCTTCATCTTTTCACAAAAAAAACGTAGATAGATCTACAAAAGAAACCGATACTATTTTTGATGATCTGATCACTGAAGCCATGCTCATCGAATTTTGAGTTTGAAGTCAAGTAAATATCAGTTTTATATTCAGATTTTAATGCTTAATCTGCAAAATATAGTTTGCAAGGTTGAAAAGTAGTCTGAATGGAGAAAAATGAAATTTATGGAAAATTAACGGCTTTGGAAGAAGATGAAAAATTAGATCATTCAAATTTTTCAACTGTAAAACACTTTTTGCAAAAGTTAGAAACCACTTTTTTCTTACTCAGGTCATCGTGCTCTATTCAACCATGTATGACTTAACTGGGAAAAAAATTCAGCTTGAAGTTTGAGTTGCGTGCACCTTATAGTTTAACCTATTTATTGTGTATTGCAAAAACCTTTCAACCATACCCCTAGTACCACGCTTTCCAACATATCCAACCCAAAACATTTTCTTACCTAAAATCGACAAAGTCCTCATTTTTCTTTAACCACATATAAAAAAACTTTTTCCTTTTTTCATCAGCGAAAAACACACCTCTTTATTGTACATGCGATTTACGAACATCATTCGATGCAATATGATTATGTAATATGTGTATAAGAGTTCCCTATTCCGATCACTCGTTGTGATCAAATTTGACTCCCCTCTAAAAGCCAGTTTTTTGCCAAAATCTAAGCGTTTTCAGCGACTTTTTGATATAAACCCAATACCTTTTCTCCAAAATTCTTCCATTTTTACAAAAATACAGTTTCTAAAAAAAAATAATATATAAATATATATTATTATATTTAAAAGTAATATATATTCCAGAGTTACCAATATTGATTTTTCCCCACTACTGTAAAAATGGAAGAATTTTGGAGAAAACATATTGGGCTTATATTAAAAAGTCGCTGAAAACGCTTAAATTTTGGTAAAAAACTGGAATTTAGAGGGGAGTCAAATTTGATCACAACGATTGATCGGAAAAGCAACACACTCGAAAGACAAACGTTTACAAATTCAGCCAACACTACCATCGGATACTGTAGAATCCATCTCATTATCATCCATTGCCACCACATCTTCAAATATCTCAACAACTTTAGCATCTCCAACTGAAACACAACATCGTAAATATATAAAAATGACAATTGATGAATGGTATGATAAAAATAAACAGAGGCTGTCATTAGATAATTCAAGATGAGATGGACCTGATAATTACAAATTAGTGATAACTAATATCAATGGTACATTCGATGCATCTATAAAATGTCAGTGTGGTAATAAAACTTTTTCGTAATCGTACGTATTTTCAATTATCTAATTTTTATAATTTAAAAAATGATAAACATACAATGATCAAATCAAAACAACAACAGAAATTAAGCGATGATAATAATAATAATAATAATCAAAATGATACGGATGATAAAATGAACAACAACAACAATCACCAGCAACAAATACTAATGATACACAAAATGATGATACAATTACTTCGGATGAGTAGGAAAATAATAATGATAATGACAGTGATATTGAAATAAAACGTCCTTCCTTATCAACAAGTAAAAGTAGAAAAAGACCAAGAGTTGTGCCTGTTCGAACACGGTCCGAGCGCCCTAAACGTCGTCGAAGGAGCTAATAGTCAAACTGGTATTTTAACTCCTTGTATTTTGTTTCTAAAGACTTTATCTTTTTCTGTTCATAACAGGAAAAGATAAAATCTTTATCTTTATTCTTTTCTTTATTTTTATTCCTTTATGTTCATAACAGTAAATTTCTAGAGATGTGAATGTATTATATTTATTATAGGCTTGATTTTTAATACAGTAAATAAGAGTCATAAAAGATTTTTCTCGTTTTGAAAGTAGGATAATTAACAGATGTATCTTCATACAACCATGTGCGGACATATATATTACTAAACGTGTGAACATTCTTTTCTCCATCTGTTATCTTGTTTTCTTCTTTCATCTTTTACTAGATCTTTCTATTGTTAACACAATATGCGTAGCTCTTGTTTTCCCTATCACCAATAATAACGGGGCTTGTCTCTCTTTTGGTGGATAGAGATAGTATAAATTGCTGATTTCTTTCTTTTTTTTCTAATAAATAGCTTATATCAAATTCGAGCGAAGAGACTATACCACGTGTCACTCCAGAGTGAAAGTTCACTCAGCGGAGTGGCAGAGTACGATGTTTTCCCCTGGGTCAGCTTTCAATGAGGGGAATCCTGTTCTGGCTGTTTTATTGATTTTCAAAAAAGGCCTTTGACCCTACAGTGTTCATGTAAGCTGTTTGCTGATGACGTTTCGTTGAATGTAGTTGCTTCTGATTTGAACCAAGCCTTTATTCAAATAAACATTGATCTTAAAGTTATCTTTAAATGGTCGAACGACTAGTTTTTGAATATCAATATTTCCAAGACAAATATTATATTTTAGTCACTATAAGAGAAATCTTCCACCTGCAGTCCTAGTCGATTCTCCTCTGGTCTATCTTGATAAAGTATCTCATCTGGGACTAGTATTAACCGCCGAATTAGACTGGACTTGCCACATAAATTACATTTTTGTGAAGTACTCCAAAATTATAGGTATTATGAAATTGTTGAGTCATGTGATATCTAGAGAAGCCGTATGCTTAGTCTACAATGCCTTTGTTTTCTCCATAATTAATTATATCAGCGTCATTTATTCTGGTACCACACAAACTAATTTGAGACGTATATCTGTTCAGTATAATTCAGCTTTAGCAATTACTGGTGGAACGAGCTGTCTTCAACCACAAAAGCATTAGTTGATTTTGGTTGGACCCGATAGAAGAGACTTTCTTTATTCAGCGACTTTGCTTATTTCATAAAATTAAGTTTGGTAAAGCATCCCCTTCTCTTCAGTCTCTCATTCCAGCTGATACTACATCTCATACCTATTCACCAAGGAGTAGAAGTACAGGTGCCACGAAAATTCCAGTTCAGCGCCGTGGATTGGTGATATATGAAAAGTCTTTCCTCATGGCAACTTGTAAGTTGTGGAATCAGCTTTCTCCTGCATTTCGCTTGATAACAAATTATACGAGATTTAGACTCAAATTGATAGAATTAAAAAAGACTGAAGTATATGATGAAATTAGGCATAGTATACCTAGATGTGAGGACAGATCTAATGAACTTCACTTTGCTCGTTTAAGAACCGGATTCTCTCAATTGAATGCTGACCTATTCAGGTACACCCTTATTCCTGATCCATCATGCACATGCGGAGAAGATGAATCACAAAATCATTTTTTTCTAATCTGTCGGAAATACTATAAAGCTCGACAGAAACTGATGAGTACTATTAACTCCATTTTGGGCACACAAATTATTCTCTCGCTTAACTTTCTACTCTTTGGGTTTAGCGACTTGTCTATTGAATTGGAAAAAAGTAAAAGTTTTTATAAGGCTATCGTTGATTTCATTAGAGAGTCTAACCGCTTTGGAGCATAACTGATGTTACTTCTCTTACGTGAAAATTCTTTACACCTCACTCACGCAGTCGCTACAGAAAATCATCCTCATCTCCTTCTCATCTCTGTAACCTATCTATATTGTTTATACTGTTTTCATCTAGTAAAACTTTATCATTTTGTTTTTGTTCTTTTTAAATATATTTAAATTGTTTTTATATATCTAGTTCTTCTCTTTTTTTTTCTTTCTTGTCTCTTTCTCTCTCTCAAAGCCCGATTTGATTACATGAAAAACGCCTAACTCTGCTACCGGAGTGTCTGTGCGTTACCGTTTTTTCCCTTTTCGTCTATCGTATAATATTTGGAAGGAATATCGTAGAATCCTGGAAAGTGTCTTGTTTTGTAGAATGAAGTGCGTTCTTCAAAATTCACCACTAGCTCAATTCGAAATAATTGACGACTTTTCGGTTGCGATCGAAATACTAAAAGCCCTAAAACCAAACGACAGTGTTTTTGGGGCTCTTCGTACTTTAAGTATAGCATAAACAGCGTCAGTTATTTCGAATTGAGCTAGTGGTGGATTTTGAAGAACGCACTTCATTCTACAAAACAAGACGCTTTGCAGGATTCTACTATATTCCTTCCAAATATTATAGGATAGACGAAAAGAGAAAAAACGGTAACGCACAGACACTCCGGTAGCAGAGTTAGGCGTTTTTCATGATTACTGTTGCTATAATAAAGTTTAAGCTAAGTCTTTAAAGTTAACTCACGCAGACTCTACTGTTGCACACGCATTACATCGCAAATTAAAGCAACTAATAGGCGGAAACAATCCTCAAATAAACATACAATTTGCCAGCTACAAAATCTCGAGAAAAAATCTGGAAATACCACTCTCCTCTAGCTAGTGGGAACAAAACGTGAATAATTTCGAAGTGGTATTGTCTACGCCGCTTCTGATCAACATTTTCGAATTAAATACTAAACTAAGCTATTTTCATGAATAACAAAGGTGTAATTCTAAAAACAGAACCGATATGGAGAACAAGTAGAGCGCACAACATCAAGGCGTATGACATCCGATCATACCAGCTATCCGCATACCAATTACTCTCCATTAAAATCTTCGACTTCGATCAAAACCAGATGTTCTGTTCTTATTTATTTATTCAATAGAGTAGAAACAAATTATGTGCATAAAAGTCCAACATGCATATTCGACGTACAGTTTCGATGAGTGAAGAGGGGAAAATGATCGCAATCAATCAAACGGGTAGTTGAAGGATAACAAGTCAGAAGGTCGAGGATAAATTTACATGGTATTCGTGTTATAAGTCCCTCATACTGGAAATGGCAACCATTCACAGAATTTTCTTCCCAATTATGACCTGTCGTAAACGCTGCCTTCGTTTTACCGATGGATAGACAAGCAACCCTGGCTGCCTCTTTTCCGAAAAAATTTTGACATACCATCCCGTCGAACGAGTAAGTTTTCACGATGGGTCCGTCGATTTGCATGTCAACACGAATGCGTAATGGTTCGGTAGCAGTCACAGTCATGTTCTTCACCGTACGAGGATATACCAGAAAATCGTTAATGTCCGGACAACTGGGAAGAAGTTTGACGAGTTCTGGATTACCATTATCAACATTTGATGATAGAATGTCGACATCGGAAGATTCCCAGGCACAATTCATAGAAACAACAATCAGCATGTATAGAAAGACTGAAGCTTTTGTATGACGCATGCCTAAAACGAACATAAAACGAAGAGCTTAAGTACAATGCTAATCAACGCAAAATTACGATAAAAGGACTTTCCACACAAATAGCTATTCAAGTTCTCTGAAAGCCTCTGTGACTTGTAATATATGACTAACTGTAATATGACTTGCTGCGATTTCTTATATATATTTTCATGACAGAATACTGTCTTAATCCTGTGCGTTACTGTGATAGTCTGTCATTTGATATTAGATTCTACACCCAGGTCCAAAAAAACGGCCCGTTAACGGCCAGTTAATCTCCAGTAAACGGTCAACACAAAAAACGTCGCGTTAACGTTATGGAAACGGCAGAAAAACGCCCAGTAAACAAGTCGTTAACTTGCCG